CTCACCCACACGGGCGAGAAGCCGTATAAGTGTAATATCTGCAACTGGAAGTTTATCAGCTCCAGTAATCTTCGCACGCACATTCGCATACACCATGCCTACTACTTGGAGAAACCTAACGCCGCCCATCAACCTGAGCAGCAGGGCTTAAACAACAGGCTTGTTCCTGATACTGTTACAGAACAAATGAGGGAAAATATGCCTTTCAAAAACCTAATAGAATCTCAGAGAGAACAAGTATATTATTAACTGTAAACGCACGCGTCATGCTCAATGTAACATATTCAGTATTCCACCATCAGAGTTTTAGAAATGTTCGTGCGTTCGTAACCCAGCTTTAAAACACTGACAAATAGAGCATCGTTGTTTAAAATACGCTTTGTATTACAGAGCAGCATGTTTAAGATTTGATAAAAAGTCTATAAATTGGTCTAATTCGTGTAAAGAACACTTCAGAGAAATATTCTTTATTAAGCAGAGCTAGTATACATAAAAAGGGCGTATTTATATAAAACAATGTGAGAGTAACTTTTGATATTCAAAGATGTACAAGAAATTATAAGAGCAGCTAACAGAGTGAAATATGTGTATAAGTATGGATTTATTTTATGAAATCGAGTGAATTACTATTTTTTAGAATGTTAACAAAGAAAATACTAAGGGTGTTCTAAAAATTCTAGAGAATAAGGTATTTATCTAAACGGAATATCACGTGTACGGTAGCCGGTTTGACGAACAGGTGGCTACTTGTTTTAGTTAATAAAAAGCGCAATCATTGTTAATGAACATATTCTGTACCGAAACGAGAAGCGAGCCACCACTTCTTGAATCAAATGAGTATCATTCCTTGTGAAGTAATAAATGGTTTAAATCTATTCTCCTTGTTATTCTTTTTCTAAACGAAACGCGACCTTCAGATTGGGGCCGATCCACAAAATAACTATTTGCAAATTACATGCAACTGTAACAGAAATAAAACAGCGAAGTTGTAACGGCAAGAAACCAATTTCAGGTGCTTGCGCTTTTTAAAGACAAGCTTGATCCACGAAAAGGATATTAGAACATTACACACAACAATAACGGCAAAAATGTTTAGCGATTAGGGCATTGAATCCGTTGTCTGATGTTTCGAAGGAAAAGATAAACTTTAAATGGTGTGACATCATTATCAGGGTAATGTATAATTATACTATTTTCCTGATAAAAAAGTTTCGTAGTAAGTTTTTCAACTATCTATTGTAAAGATAAAAGTTTTCCTTTCAGCAGAAGCATGCGCAACATTTAAACATTTCATTTTCATTAGACAGGGGCGTGCAAGGTCATAAACTCCCTTGCAAATATTCCAAAAAAAATTCACTTGGGTTAAAATCAATCCTACGTGTATCTAAAAACGTTGCCTTTCTTTCTTGTGCCTGACATGCCTTAAAGAATTTCATTAAAATGTTTTGGCAGTTAATCTAGTCGGTGCGTAGGAAGACCACCTGGTCAATAACAACACAAAACGCTTATCTAGTCACGCGTGTTTTGCAAACTATTCAGCAACACACCTTAGTGGCATTTATAGGGTAAGCCACGAAAACAGGAAGCAAAATGCGAAAAGACGAATAAGTAAAAACATGACGCGATTCATAGAATTTGTTTAAGTTATGAGCGTCGAAAGCCAGCTAACTGTCTATAGTTCGTGCCAAAAAAAGACAAAACTGTCTTCGAGTTTTAGAAGTGTTGAGCATTGAAGGCCAACTGCTGTACACGAATATTACCCACACCCATCATTTAATATATTATTTGAAAAAAAGATCTCACCGTCCTTTACATATGAATCAACGACCTGGAGGCACAAATTAGCCTAAAATTTCAGTGAGAAGTAACAGCGTGTCAAAAAAGGGTTATCACGATATTAGCCGCAGGCAAAAGCCTCATCAGAGTGCAAGCGAGCGTGTGTTAACGAGATGAAAGGGTATAGAATGGTGACTCGATCGAAAAACGTGGGTCTTGGAAAATTTTGGCCCAATCTCGAAATCTCGGAAGCGTTCATGAGTGGAACTGAGATAGTAGATTAAGACAGTAAAACAAGACAAAGCTTGGTGGGCTTCCGCTAGCTTCTATTGGCGTTTTCGGTCTTCTTATTTAGCTTTATTGGTACGAAATTTTAGGCGATTAGAATCTCGAGCTCGGAATTGATAAAACACTCAAGTCTCGCTCTCGATTTTACCATTCTATACCCCTATATGACGTTATGGCATGAAATACAGATGACATGTACTGTCCGATACACGTTATTGTAATTATGCTGGGAATGAAAAACTAACAATAAAACTGTTTTTGGCAACTACTTCTTTAAATGCACAACTGATATTTGCTTATTTCTGTATGTTTTGCTGCGAATGATTGAAATTATGACGAAGGTAAAATAAACAATCTCACTAAATGAATTTTCTCTCAGTCCTAAGCCATTGGCTGGGGAGAAAAAAGTATAACCACCGTAAAGTTGAGAGTTTTTATCTGCAGTACAAATATAAAATAAGCATCCTATTTTTATAAGAAAAGGTTCTTTTTTAAATTATCCCTTACGTGAACTCTTGAACAATGCTGCAAACAAGGTGACAAAAAAGGGCGAAATCATTATTATTTTCACTAATTAACAGCGTTTTCTTGATATACATCCAAATTTACAAAACTAATATTTAAAATATCGTCGCCCCTTGACAAATGCAGAAATTATCCCTAATCGATCTCAGCACTAACAAGCTTGTACTGATAGTATTGACGGTTCGAGAATACAGGAGTTTTCAGGGCAAAATGCCCAGTTTCGGTGCACGCCCGTCTTCGTTCAAGCAATGACACATTCATTTCGTTAAGAAAGCCCGCACTTTTATTCAATATTCAAAACAATGTCACTGTTTTCCTCAATTCCTTTGAGCGAATGCTAGCTCGTGAGCTTGTGTATGCAAAATAAGAAACTTTCAAATCTCCAACCGTCAAACTGTTCATATAAAAATGAATAGTTTTACGAGGCAGACAACCGTACCCAGCCGGATATAGTTCCCTCCCTTTTTTTTCTTTACTATCTATTTGAATGCCGGTTTAAGTTGCGACCAGGAATGAACACGACATGTTTTATAGGAGGTGTTCGACCAGGAAAATTTGCGTCCTGGAGTATATATAAAGAAAAAGTCATCCAAATACAAACTTTTAACACATAAGGCCCGCGACGTTTCTAAGTCTACATATTTGGCAACAAATAGTTTGCCAACTGCGATATACAATTATTACGTCGACCTTTACGACTATTTACACTGTGCTAAGTTATAGGAAAAGTGACGTGAATTACAATGGTGTTTACAAGGTATCTTTTAATTAAGTGCAAGACTACAATCAAGCCCCTCTGCTTACCCCCTCCCCCCGTCGGCCTGCACGGCTAGTACCTAGGCCTTATCATTCCACGCGGCTTATTCATTTACTCATTTCGGTTCACGTGATCTGAGCAAATGTGTGACCGTTCGTGTCGCCTATACGTCACCGAGTGTACGACCGTAAAGGCCGCCTTGGAAAACACCGAACAGTAAGGAGTAAAATAAAAGTCTTTCAGTATCAAAATTGCTTACTAAGAAAGTTAATTCCCGAGTATAATAAATCGTATTTCTCTGCAAGTTGGGATAAGATCCAACTTCCGTTCAATCAATGCCTGTTTTTGGCTTTTTTCATTTCTTTTCCGCTGTGATACACTTTTTTTGACACAGATATTAAAAGAGGTTAGTTGGATATTGCAGGCGATTTGGGGCACAACGGTTAAGAGCGAGATGTTTTTTTGGATGACGTTTTTCGTTCACTGATCTTTCTAATAATTTTCAAAGATTTTATAGAAAGGGAATTCTTGAATACTCAGTGTTTAGTAAACGAACGAGAATGTCTGCAACTTCCAATGAACTTTAACGTTACCAAAGAGCAAGATAAGTTGTTGAAACACTGAAAGCGGAACGACATTCTGCAATATCACGACGGTTCAATATCAGTTCAATTTAGCTATTTGTGTGCTTGGAGTCGCCTACAAAGTAAATCCAGCATTAAAACAATAACATAAATAATAAAAGCCAAAATCAGTATTCCTAACAAAATTCGCATCTTAAAGGGCCTAATGACCCATATAGCCTTTATCTTAATAATGGACCAAATGGACCCTTAAATCAAACAAATAACTTCGAGAAAATTCAAGGTAAAAAAATCAATTGAACTTTTGAAATAAACTACACCTTAAAAAACTCTAACAGGTCATAACCCAGGTTAAGTTTTTATAGCTCGAATTAAACCGCAAAATTCAAGTAATTTCCTGCGCCAAAATTTTACTTAAAAATTAAGGAGCCATTTCAAATAAACTATTACTTAAAAAATTGTCATAGAAGAGGGCTTTGACCCGTAGGCATGATTTTAATAATGAGTCATAAACCAGGTGTCAGCTTTTATAGTTTTTTTTTATTTATGAACCGCAGAATCTGAAAGGTGATTAATCGTGATCTAAGCATTCATTTTCATTTGTAGAGAAAGACTTCAAGTTCCCTTTATTATGACCAAACGCTTACCATAAACATTATTTAAAAAACTACAAGAAAATTAAAGATTTGGTAAATCCAAATATTACAACCTGCATGCGATTACAAGCCCATTTTATCATGTAGACGGATTAAGAAAGAACACTTAACAAATCACAGGAGCTCTTATTATGAGAATCTTGTCCCTATTTTTAAAACACAATACGTCACCTGTCAAATCAATGACCTTAAACTGTTCAGTAACTTCAGCTGTCAACTGGTTTTCGTGGGAACACGAATAGCACAGGGCTGAAAATTAAATGCGCTTGTTTAAACACAGATGGCAGTTTTGGATGCGGGAACTTCCTTTCCAAAGTCTCATGAGAAATTTTTAGATTTCGTAATATCTACCGCGGTTACCAGATTTTAGAGACAATAAAACGTACATGTATTTTAAAAAAGGGGTCGATAACGCATTTTAGGCAATATCAAAGTTTCAAGGGTTTGAAAAATGGCCATGAACATGAACGAAATATCAAATGACACCTTGAAATTGTAGAAGATCAAACGAAAATTCAGAAAAGCCAAAAGTGGACACGGATGGACAAATATTGGAGAGGATATAACGGATTGCCATTAGGGAAACAACAACAAAAATAAACAATCGCCCGCCTTTTTCAAGTTTATCTCTTCTTCGTTGAAAGTGTCGGTAATTACATTTCGTCTTCACGTGGCTGTGATTTTTACTCCTAGACCAAGATTATTTATTACTCTAACTTTAAAATGCTATATTGCTAAAATACCATTCAAATGAAACCTCTTTCACGTAACTTTTTCATGGTAACATTCATCTACATCTGCAATTTATAATGTCGGTAAAGTCGATTAGACATGACCGCACCAACTTTTCATTGTTTTAGGTAGGTTATATAGAGAAATTTAAACATTATTGATAACTTTTTGGCCATTATAAGAAGGTTTCCTGCAAACAGGAGAGGCGACCAAGTAGCCTTTTTTCCTTTGTTGCTGGCCGTTAACAACGTGAAGATGAGGGTTTTCACGTTCTTGGAAGAAAAGAGAGAGAATTGTTCTTTATTATCGTTCTAGGATAGATTAGCATTCATCTGAGTACCTCTGTCGGTGCCGTTAACGTCAGTGATGATGAGAATTCTGTCCTCATTTACAATAGAACTTTTACGTTAGCGAGGAAATTAATTGCACATGACCACATCAAAGCTTTATCGTTAAGACAAAAATGTCTCTTCAAATTTGCAAATTTATGCCTTGTTTGCATTTGCTGCTTTTCATACCTTCCTTTAATGTTTTGAGCAGTTCATTTAGTGTTCCACTCACTTTTGTTGCCGTTCCCCTGTCTAAATTTGGGAAAAATTTCGTGACACAACTTCTTTAAAGCTGGCAAGTATAGGAAATACCGTGAAGTAGACACTGTGAGTTCAAGACAACAGCAACAAAGTCGAAGCTACAAATTCTTACGCTTCTTAAAACATACAAACAATTTTCGAACTAATTTGTTGAAAAACTAAGTCAATAGTGAAGCACCTACTCTTTCGTTTTCAACACCAACCAAACGACACACGGCCGCTTTCACATATTCGTTGAACCTACCAAAAAAAGGAATTGAGTGCGATCCTTTTGCATAACTTTTTTGTTTTAACGCGATGGCTACGAAACTTTAAAGAAATTATATAATATATCATTCGGCAGTAATATAAGTTAATTCGATTTTACTGGTGGTAGAAAGTATCAGCAAACTTTTATACTAGACGCGATTTTCTTTGAAGAGTGGGTCCCCTTTAGTGCTAATTTCGTAACAAAAAAATAGCTTCCACAAGTAAAATCGGATTCTTTTATATTATTGCCGAAAGACATCTGCATGTAGTTCTTAAAGTTCTCATAAAACTAAAAAAATCATGACAAAACGTTTGTCAAAGCTCTATGCGCCTGCATTACTAGTAATAACGGAGCCACCTTGATTAATTGCCTGAGTTCATCAACGCGCCCTTGTTTCCGCTATTTCTCTCCACCTTACGACGCTTATTTAACATGTCTTCCAAGACTTAACTACACGTCTTAATGTTTCTAACTCTTCATCAGTGGAAATGGAGATAAAAATGCGTTCGTGAGTAAGGTGTGAACATGTGCGCGCGCAGACAGCCTAAGAGAAAAGTGCAGAATAAGGGATGAGTTGAGGCGAAAGGAGTTTGCGTTTGCAGGATAACAGAGGCGAGTGAGTGCATTAACTAAGCACTGATGATAACGGAAACCAAGTCATTCAATTTTTAAATGGCCTCCTAGCCAATCACAAGGAAGAAACGTTAATGGAATGGTTTGCACGCGCGCGACCAGACACTCAAAAAATGCAACGTCACAATTAAAACTAACAAGCAGACACGTTTTTTACAGCAAAGTTACAACAGTCATGGGGATCTGTAACTCGGTTTTTACGTCGGACATAAAGTGCAAGGAGCTGAATGAAAACAACTTAGTTGAAACACAAAAGAAAAGGAACGAAATGAGACTGAAGTACTCGGCTAACACGCCAAAAGTCTCCACAAGCGTGGAAATAATAGACATCCAGTCCTCGGATGGTTCGGTGTCAAGTTCGACGTCAACTTCAACTTTTTCAGAGGCCGAGAGTGATGTTTGCTTGCCACAAGAAGAGCTGGAGGCTTTGGTAATTTGCGGAAAGGCATGGCAGCCAAGGCAAGAGGCCGGGGAGGTTTGTGTCCGTAAAGTAGAGGGACTGAAGTCTCGAAAGAAAAAATTCTTTTTACGTTCGAAGAAAGATCGTCAGTTGCAGATGAACAAAAAGAGTGAAATAAATTTGGCTTCCAAGGGAGTCAGGTCTGTTCCGTCTGCAAATGTTTGCCGTTTCAGGTANGAGTGATGTTTGCTTGCCACAAGAAGAGCTGGAGGCTTTGGTAATTTGCGGAAAGGCATGGCAGCCAAGGCAAGAGGCCGGGGAGGTTTGTGTCCGTAAAGTAGAGGGACTGAAGTCTCGAAAGAAAAAATTCTTTTTACGTTCGAAGAAAGATCGTCAGTTGCAGATGAACAAAAAGAGTGAAATAAATTTGGCTTCCAAGGGAGTCAGGTCTGTTCCGTCTGCAAATGTTTGCCGTTTCAGGTACTCTGGGCCCCCACCACGCCCTTCTCCCTGGAAGGAAGTGTATTTAACAATGATCAAAGCTAACGAGCAAATGGCTGAAGAAAGCCTGAGGAAGAACGAGCAAGTGAACCAAATTAAGGAAAGGCTAGTGAACACGAAACAAATTAGCGGTTCAAGAAAACAGCTCGCAAAGACGATCAATAGGCAGCGTTTTTATGCTCCCGAAGAGCGTGTGACAGAGAGCGAACCGGACAATGCTGGATTCCTTGGCGATGAACAGACCTCTGGTAGTTTAAACCCAGCCAGTACAAGGTCTTCTCCAACAGCTTCACGCGGTGCATTCATTATATCGGATGACGGTCCTGAAGAATCTTTTTCGAGCGCCGACTGTTACTATAGTGGAAATAACGAATCACCAGATAATGCACGAGTCAACGGTGATATAATCCTCAAGAAAATTGGACAGCGCCAAAAAAGTCTCAAAGAGGAAGTCGCAGCGATCGATTCGACAAAAGCGAAACAAGGTCTCTCCTCAGTAAGCCGAAGATCTAAAGGCAAGTGCCCTAGAAACAAGTGGTTTCGGGTAGCGACGGGGAAGAGAGAGACAGGGAAAACCAGAATATAGTCTTACATAAGAACTATGGGTATTCAGTAATGTATCATTTCCGAGATCATTTGTCACAGATTGTCAGCTTAATATGTGCTTAGTTACAACCTGACTGCCGAAACGATCATTTAACTTAAGTTTGCAGTAGCTCTAAACTGGATATTCACCAACGAGAGTGGGCAGACAACTTCAGGAATACGTCGCTCCTCTAGCCTACAATTTTTTTGACTTGTTATTTTTGTAAGACAATGAAGGGGGGAAAGACTTGCTAAGATTTGCCGTCTGCACAGGAGCTTATAATCTGTTAGTTACAATTGAAAGAACATTCTCATGATGATTTAGAATAAAAAAACAATAAATTTTTAACACTGAAATCTGTTGTCAGTTTCCGCCGTACCATTAAATATTAAATAGCAAATAGCATAGCACCTTAAATGCTCACCGATCTTATCACCTTTCCCTTAATGAGGAATCAAACATTACTATTTCCGCTTAAACAATCCTCTTTTCTATTAAAGATAACACGCATATTTCTGTTTTGTTTAACATAAATCGGCAATCCTGGTCTGCAATTGTGGGTGTTCCATTTTATGATTTGTTGGATACAAGGTAATTTGAAACGATCCGCAGACAACAAAGGCAAAGGATGTGGGTGCACTTCCAATGGTAGAGTCGCTCAATTTTACTTGATGCTTGTTGTAGTTGAGGCAGTGAAATTCATGTAGAGCACAAGCATCGCAATGGTTTGTCTCCCTTGTAGCCGTTTTTAATGTGGTCACGTAGCGCTTCTCCCGACAAACGCCGTTTGTGGGGAGGACACTAAAACTGTTGCGAGGGAGACTACGCAATGGTCAGCTGTTTTAAAAAGGAAAACAATGAGGGAGATGGGCAGATTACTTGGGGAGGAGGGGAGAGGGGGGATTCATTCCAGACCCCAGGACAGAGAAACGTTAGGCAAGCCAGTTAACCACGACGGGTGGAGATAAAAAAGGGGTGATGCCGCGTTTTGAGACGGTAAAATCGACTATAGTTAGTGGTTAAAGAGGATTATTCAAGGGCTATCATCTTCGGCATACTGGCCGAGCTACACCAATGCCTAATCAAAAGTAGAGGGAGTAAGATTGCAGTGCCTTGGTAAAGTTCTCTTTATTGTCTTTCCACTGTTCCTCATTTACATTTAGTCTCCTCCAGATTATCACGTATTGGAAATGTCAGAAGATCATATGATTCAGAAACGCTCTCAGCAGAAAACCACTTTTCCCCAAGTGACCGCATGTTACATCTGTTCGTCCGATACTTTCTACGAGTTTGAAATAGCCTATTGACAAGCACAAGTCTGTGTGAATTACACCAAAGGTCTCTATCTCAGATAACCATTGACGAATAAGAGTAACTACGACAAAACAGGAGGCCAGCTAAGTTAGTCTCCAACATTAGAGACAGATCTGAGATATCCACATGTTCCACACGCAAAAAGAATACGCAGAAGTTTAAATGATCTCCCTCCAGCTGTCAATCAAAATTTCCTCGACTGGAAGGTGGCTTTTCAGCCATGTATAGTAGCTACGAAGAATATTCCATATTGCGTAGTAGTATAAACTCCACTCAAGATTTTCAAGCTGTCAACTTTCAGCAGTCTGAGTTAGTCTTCCTTTCCGTTTTTGTATAAGTAATACATTCTACTCGGCATTACTTTGAGGCATTCCTTTTCATAAAATCGTCTACTGCACAAGCAACGTTTAATTATGGACGATTTAATAACGCGATCAGACTGATAAAACCTGTGCTCTGAAATACCACCACTCACTGCACATAAGACAAGTAGGACCTCCATGGATTCTCCAACAAATGTACATAAGAAAACTTACAGATAATCGGACGGCTAACTCTTGTCAACTAGGTTTGCATTCAACATCTCCATCCCTGCTTGATTTCATCTTGGCCAGTTCCTGTCGAATTAGTTTTTCCTGTTCTAGAATGAGGGCAGGCTTTTGGTACTATGAAACAAATAAAAACGATGTTTTTTTTAGTTATTTGACACTGACTCCATATTCTGTGTGACTGAAGCTTTAAAAATAAACTTACTGCACACATAATGTAATTCCCAACTAACTAATCCAGGGTTTCTTTTTTTCCTCGACACCTGTAAAATAATTTTGTGATCACTTTTCATTTCGTATTCTCAAACTCATTAATAATTCATTAAGAAAATACAAAGGAAATTAATGTTTAATGAGTGTTTGGAAATCGGATGAAACACTGCTTAGTATTTGCATCCTTAATTTCTCCTTCAAAAATGATTTTGTTTGAGAAGAAATATCAAACATTCGACACAGTGTTTCATCACCAGATGAAACACCTCGAAGTTCGTCAAAAATACTCCGCTGCGCGTCGTATTTTCAACTCTCTTCTCGGTGTTTCATCTGGTGATGAAACACTGCATCTCATGTTTGATATATTACTTACAAAACTCAAAACACTCGCTCCACTCTCCCAAATTTAATCAGCCTCAAAACCCTGCTGCTCTACTGCTTCCCTAGAAATGCACTTTCTTTAATCTACAGCGGGGCCCAAAAATCCTTGGGACAGTTATTGAAAACTTTCCTCTTACATTGAAAACACATCAAATAAGCAAATTATATCCCCAAGAACCACTTTTTCAATAGTTCAGACGTCTCTAATGCTCCTCCTGTCCACCGCCAAAAAAAATGTTAAAAACAAACACTTTTCAGGTCTGGGTGAAGTGTACAAGTGACACACAATAGAAAATTAGGGCGATTTAGAGTCAGGCTTACGGCAAACGGCAAAGTTGAGAAATTCTCAAAATAGAAAACAAGCAGATAAAAAAAATCAAAAATAATTCTTAAGGGTAAAACTAACGTGAAACCACTTATCTTCTTTGTTGCAGAAATAAACAGTAAACTGGAATAAAGGGAAAACTTGGTCACGTTGTACAAATTCATGTTTGCCTGCGATTTTTCCCTGGCCTTTTTTAAATCGTACTCATTTGTTAATAGTCCATTTTGGAGGAACTCTCTCCCCTGCACAAGTTAGGTGTCAAAGTTGTCTATGACTTCATAAGCGGTAGCCGGCACAAGGATCCGCACGAATGGATTCGGGCGGCTCAGGGGTGAATGAGTGAAGGGATTATATTAATAAGAACGGAGTCACGCTTTTTTTCTGAGACACGCTTCGATTCCCTACATTTGGCCGAAAAAGCATGTAGACTAACACTTCATTGTAAAGCTAAATAATTCATTAATTCATAAAACTAGCAGTCTGCGAGAGTAGTTGACTATCATGTGAAAAAATGAAAATGATCGACATTTAACTGAATATCAGATGAGTATTTCGGCAGCAATCTGTCTAGCATTGAATCCGACTGTCGTGCATATAGGCACTCGTCAGCCCTTTGTTTTGGTTGTGACGTCAGACTTTTATCATGATATAAGGTTCTTCAACAGAATAACTGAAACACTTTGTCTCTTGTTGAGAGATAGGAAGTATCTTCCAAGCGCAGCTTAGTTAACAGGACACTATATCGCAGGGATCACATTTTAAATTGACGGCAGGTAAAAAATCACAACTTATGCACTGAGTTGAGGAAATATACCATGACTAGTTTTTTTTTAAAGTAAACTTTCAGTAGACAGTTCAATCATGCTGTTACATTACATCGCTTATAGCAGAAATTTAAAGCAAGGTTCCCCTCCATTTTTATGTAGGTTTCAGACTGGTATTGGCATGATCCGATTAACTAACTAGGCACATGGCAAACGCCCCAAAAACCATGCATCATTCTGGAGCAATTCCGTCGGTCCTTGGGCGATTGAAAAAAGCAAACAAAGAATAATTTAAAATAGACACCCCGACGGTCAAATGACTTGGTTGCTTTGAGATATTTTAGGGTGGGTTATTTAAACGAAGTCTATAACTTAGGCCGCAGGTTAAGGAATCATTGGACGTCCAGATCTCTTTCTTAGTGGGTTAATTTAAGAAAATAAGCGCTTTCCAGTCTACACTACATGCTTTATTGAAATTTTTCACGATAAATGACGTTTACATAGAAGCGTTTGGAAAACTGAAAATGGCCCAGAACGCGGTTTGTTAAACAAGGGCTAAACTTCGTTTAAACAACTGGCCTTTAGTTTTCTTTAAATGCAGCCGAGATATCATTCCAGCTAAAAATGCCTTAATTAGGTTGGACTGTTAGAACTCCCTATAGCTGCTTTTATAAATGTTTGAGAATCTTAGGACCAATAATACTTTTATCATGATTTTTAACAATAACAAAAATTCTGTGAGCCAGTTATTTAAACGGAGTTTAGCCAGTGTTTAACAAAACCGCGTTCTAAGCCATTTTCAGTCTTGCCGAACGTTTTTATATAAACACCATTTATCGTGAACAGTTTCACGAAAACATATGGCGCAGATTAGAAAAGCATTTCTCTCATTAAAATAATCCACTATGGACGAGATCTCGAAGTCCAAAGATTTCCTAAACCGCGTTCTAAGTTAGACTTCATTTAAATAACCGACCCTGTATGTTTAAAATTAGGAAACAAAGAAAAATCACCTTCAAAGATTTCAAGGTGATGGGAAGACGTGAAAGCCAATTGGACACAAAAACACTTCAGGATATAATATACTCCTAAGTAGTATTTGCGTACATTCAACTCTCTCCCTTAAAGAACAAAGACCAGTGCAAGGCAAACGATTATTGCTTTTGCTTCTTTGATTCCCGGTTAAATGAACCGACTTTTTACATTAGAATAACACAGCAAAATTATCGACATACAGCATTATTGCCATACAAACTGTTGCTATGTTAAGTAGAGAGAAAGATATCCACCGGGGTAAATTAAATCACCGAGGCGTGCTACAAGCAACGAGCCAAAAGAAGAGGCTAGCGTGCAGTACATCAGGGATTGTTATGACTGATTTAACATCAAAAGAAACCTACTCACGTAATACTTTCAAAGTATGCCTTCCTGTAAGAATTTCAATTACCAACTTGCTCTGTGAAAGATCCAAATCTTAGCAAAGGATTGATGTCAAGTCTGAGAAGGACTTGAAAGGAAAGGATTGTTAATCCTTGTATGAGCACAGTCCTGTAAAATGTTTTTCATATGACAAAAATCAACAATTGTTTCGAAAAGATTTACATAACGCAAAGAAACGGAGAAAAAGAAACCAAAAAAGGAAACGAACGAACAAAATAGTTGACTGTATTACATTTTTCGTATTATCGGCGAGAAACAACGCCGTTTGGCGCGGTATTTGCTTAAAAACAGCCTATGAGAAGTTGCACATTTTTACGACCATAGACCAGCCCATTCATAATAGTTTTACGATAACGTACCTTTACTCTACTACTTAATAAATCACTTAGATTTTTGTTACACTTCTTAGCAATGCGCTTTTTTTTTTTAAACTCAACATTTGGGGATATTGACACAGACTAGTACAATTATACAGAACATGAACTTCAGTAAAATCAGCATCAAACGAAAAAATATATAAAATACCGACAAATTTTCACTTACTATTATTAGTACTGATAGGATGCTTGGAACGATTTTTGGAAAAATTCTTAAAATATTCAACACTGAAGATAACAGCGAAAGAGATTTAATCAAGGTTCAGTTCCTTTTCTTTAAAGACAGGCAGGTTGTCTGCCCCTACAACGCACACACAACCTAGGGGGAGAGTACTTAAAAGCTTTACAGCTAGGTAGGAGCAGCACTAACGGGTAAGGTCTGGAATATGGTAATTGCACCTTAAGAATAGCAGTCGGTTTGAAGGAGGTGGGGAGAGCAATCACATACTTTAGTACAAAACAGGGTAAGAGTTAAAAAAGAATACCGCAAAGATCCCCTCCCCCCCCCCCCCCCCTACTTCTCCCGAATCTTGAACTGAGATAGCCTGGGACAGTGAGAATACACATTTTGAAAAGTTCTGTTTTTCCTTTATCTGGAAGCAAAACAATGTACTTTAAAACGGGCAAAATGTGATCTGTTCTTATAGGAAGAGAGAACAATGGTTCGAGTTTTTGGTTTGGTTGCAGGCATAGAGCAAATAAGCGCAATCTGAAAGGAGCTACTTTTTTCAACAGATGCAGTGCTTAGGCAAGCAAGATGTATAAAAAAGATGTATAAAAGAAACATCTTTAACGAGACACCAAGATGCAATGTACGGCCTCCTAAAAATTACGATTAGTATTTTTGGGCTTGAAAACCATGCTGATCACACTGACTAAACCATTCTAAAATTGAACAGCATTTGTTTCGGTAATCAAGTGTTTTACTAAACAATCATAACCTGTATTAAATGTATCAAAATATAAGTGAAGGGACACACTCGAGGTCCCGACGCGATCGATCTGTTCTCCTGACTGTAACTTCTCTAAACACCAATATATTACAAAAAGAAATAGCAAGGAAAGTTTGGCTAAACGATAATTCGTTTCTGAAACTCTGACAGTAATAAGGCCTTCTTACAACTGAAGCTAATTGATGAAAAAAGAGGATATTGTCAAAATAATGTCCACAGACTTAATATCATTATGCGCCCAAACCGGTTCATTTAGCAAACATTTGCAGTTTTCGCACGACATAAAATTAGCTGTAAAAAGCGGCTTTGAACGGACCAGATAAATCGTACGTGCCATATACCACGTTTGATATTTTTGAACAAAGGATGATTGTTTCGCAATAACTTTCGCGAATAATTTGATCGACTATTACAGTTACCTTTTCTACAAGAAGGATTATAAGGTTCTTTAAATCATAAGCTTTACTAATCTCCTGCAAGAGAGAAAAAAATCTTTTTGTATAACTTTTTTACGCTTAAATATGCTTATTTTTCAAGTGTGTTAATTCCTCTTATCTTCTCTCCAATAGAAAGCTGAAAAAGGTTTCAAATGTAAATAACTGTAGGTAACATTGTATGTCCATGATAATAGATCTTTTACGAGTATTTATCCGTTTGAGCCGAGGAAGGTTTCCTCTTCTTTATTTCACTTGACCATTTGATTTCATCACCAGATGAAACACCTCGAAGTTCGTCAAAAATACTCCGCTGCGCGTCGTATTTTCAACTCTCTTCTCGGTGTTTCATCTGGTGATGAAACACTGCATCTCATGTTTGATATATTACTTACAAAACTCAAAACACTCGCTCCACTCTCCCAAATTTAATCAGCCTCAAAACCCTGCTGCTCTACTGCTTCCCTAGAAATGCACTTTCTTTAATCTACAGCGGGGCCCAAAAATCCTTGGGACAGTTATTGAAAACTTTCCTCTTACATTGAAAACACATCAAATAAGCAAATTATATCCCCAAGAACCACTTTTTCAATAGTTCAGACGTCTCTAATGCTCCTCCTGTCCACCGCCAAAAAAAATGTTAAAAACAAACACTTTTCAGGTCTGGGTGAAGTGTACAAGTGACACACAATAGAAAATTAGGGCGATTTAGAGTCAGGCTTACGGCAAACGGCAAAGTTGAGAAATTCTCAAAATAGAAAACAAGCAGATAAAAAAAATCAAAAATAATTCTTAAGGGTAAAACTAACGTGAAACCACTTATCTTCTTTGTTGCAGAAATAAACAGTAAACTGGAATAAAGGGAAAACTTGGTCACGTTGTACAAATTCATGTTTGCCTGCGATTTTTCCCTGGCCTTTTTTAAATCGTACTCATTTGTTAATAGTCCATTTTGGAGGAACTCTCTCCCCTGCACAAGTTAGGTGTCAAAGTTGTCTATGACTTCATAAGCGGTAGCCGGCACAAGGATCCGCACGAATGGATTCGGGCGGCTCAGGGGTGAATGAGTGAAGGGATTATATTAATAAGAACGGAGTCACGCTTTTTTTCTGAGACACGCTTCGATTCCCTACATTTGGCCGAAAAAGCATGTAGACTAACACTTCATTGTAAAGCTAAATAATTCATTAATTCATAAAACTAGCAGTCTGCGAGAGGAGTTGACTATCATGTGAAAGAATGAAAATGATCGACATTTAACTGAATATCAGATGAGTATTTCGGCAGCAATCTGTCTAGCATTGAATCCGACTGTCGTGCATATAGGCACTCGTCAGCCTTTTGTTTTGGTTGTGACGTCAGACTTTTATCATGATATAAGGTTCTTCAACAGAATAACTGAAACACTTTGTCTCTTGTTGAGAGATAGGAAGTATCTTCCAAGCGCAGCTTAGTTAACAGGACACTATATCGCAGGGATCACATTTTAAATCTACACCAGGTAAAAAATCATAACTTATGCACTGAGTTGAGGAAATTTACAGTGACTAGTTTTTTTCACAAGTAAACTTTCAGCAGACAGTTCAATCACGCCATTACATTACATCGCTTATAACAGAAATTTATAGCACGGTTCCTCTCCAGTTTTTTGTAGGTTTTAGACTGGTATTGGCATCATCCGATTAAATAACTAGGCACATGGCAAACGCCCCAAAAACCATGCATCATCTGGACCAATTCCGTTGGTCCTTGGGCGATTTAAAAGAAAGAGCACACAAAGAATAATTTAAAATAGACACCCCTACGGTCAAATGACTTGGTTGCTTTGAGATATTTTAGGGTCGGTTATTTAAACGAAGTCTAACTTAGGCCGCAGTGTAAGGAATCATTGAACCTCCAGATCTCTTTCTTAGTAGGTTAATTTAAGAAAATAAGTGCTTTTCTAGTCCACACTACATGTTTTATTGAAATTGTTCACAATAAATGATGTTACATAAAAGCGTTGGGCAAACTGAAAATGGCCCAGAACGCGGTTTTTTAAACAAGGGCTAAACTTCGTTTCAACAACTGGNGACTTTTATCATGATATAAGGTTCTTCAACAGAATAACTGAAACACTTTGTCTCTTGTTGAGAGATAGGAAGTATCTTCCAAGCGCAGCTTAGTTAACAGGACACTATATCGCAGGGATCACATTTTAAATCTACACCAGGTAAAAAATCATAACTTATGCACTGAGTTGAGGAAATTTACAGTGACTAGTTTTTTTCACAAGTAAACTTTCAGCAGACAGTTCAATCACGCCATTACATTACATCGCTTATAACAGAAATTTATAGCACGGTTCCTCTCCAGTTTTTTGTAGGTTTTAGACTGGTATTGGCATCATCCGATTAAATAACTAGGCACATGGCAAACGCCCCAAAAACCATGCATCATCTGGACCAATTCCGTTGGTCCTTGGGCGATTTAAAAGAAAGAGCACACAAAGAATAATTTAAAATAGACACCCCTACGGTCAAATGACTTGGTTGCTTTGAGATATTTTAGGGTCGGTTATTTAAACGAAGTCTAACTTAGGCCGCAGTGTAAGGAATCATTGAACCTCCAGATCTCTTTCTTAGTAGGTTAATTTAAGAAAATAAGTGCTTTTCTAGTCCACACTACATGTTTTATTGAAATTGTTCACAATAAATGATGTTACATAAAAGCGTTGGGCAAACTGAAAATGGCCCAGAACGCGGTTTTTTAAACAAGGGCTAAACTTCGTTTCAACAACTGGCCTTTAGCTTTCTTTTTAAATGCAGCCGAGATATCATTCCAGCTAAAAATGCCTTAAATGGGTTGGACTGTTGGAACTCTCTCTAGCTGCTATTTTAAATGTTTGAGAATCTTAGGACCGATAATACTTTTATAATGACTTTTAACAATAACAAAAATTCTTTGAGCCAGTTATTTAAACGGAGTTTAGCCAGTTTTTAACAAAACCGCGTTCTAAGCCGTTTTCAGTCTTGCCGAACGCTTTTATATAAACACCATTTATCGTGAACAGTTTCATGAAAACATATGGCGTAGATTAGAAAAGCATTTGTCTCATCAAAATAATCCACGATGGACGAGATATCGAGGTCCAAAGATTTCCTAAACCACGGTCTAAGTTAGACTTGATTTAAATAAACGACTCTGTATGTTTAAAATTAGGAAACAAAGAAAAAACACCTTAAAAGATTTCAAGGTGATGGAAAGACGTGAAAGCCAGTTGGACACAAAAACACTTCAGGATATATACAGCACTATTATATATATATACAGCACTATTGCCATACAAACTGTTGCTATGTTAAGTTGAGAGAAAGATATCCACCGGGGTAAATGAAATCACCGAGGCGTGCTACAAGCAACGAGCCAAAAGAAGAGGCTAGCGTGCACTACATCACGGATTGTTATAACTGATTTAACATCAAAAGAAACCTACTCACTTAATACTTTCAAAGTATGCCTTCCTCTAAGAATTTCAATTACCAACTTGCTCTGTGAAAGATCCAAACCTTAGCAAAGGATTGATGTCAAGTCTGAGAAGGACTTAAAAGGAAAGGACTGTTAATCGTTGCATGCGCGCAGTCCTGCAAAATTTTTTTCATATGACAAAAGTCAACAATTGTTTCGAAAAGATTTACATAACGTAAAGAAACGGAGAAAAAGAAACCAGAAAAGGAAACGAACGAACAAAATAGTTGACTGTATTATATTTTTCGTATTATCGGCGAGAAACAGCGTACCTTTACTCTACTACTTAATATAATAATCACTTGGCTTTTTGTTACACTTCTTAGCAATACGGTTTTCTTTTTAAACTCAACATTTGGGGATATTGACACAGACTAGTACAATTATACAGAACATGAACTTCCGTAAAATCAGCATTAAAAGAACAAAAAATATAAAATACGGACAAATTTTCACTTACTATTATTAATACTGATAGGATGCTTGGACGATTATTGGAAAAATTCTTAAAATATTCAACACTAAAGATGACAGAGACAGAGATTTAATCAAGGTTCAGTTCCTTTTCTTTAGAGACACGCAGGTTGTCTCCCCCCACAACGCACACACACTCTTAGGGCAGAGTACTTAAAAGCTATACAGCTAGGTAGGAGCAGCACTAAAGTGTAAGGTCTGGAATCTGGTAATTGCACCTTAAGAATAGCAGATGCAATGTACAGTCTCCTAAAAATTACGATGAGTATTTTTGGGCTTGAAAACCATCCTGATCACACTGACTAAATCATTCTAAGAATTGAACAGCATTAGTTTCGGTAATCAAGTGTTTTACTAAACAATCATAATCTGTATTAAATGTATCAAAATATAAGTGAAGGGACACACTCGAGGTCCCGATGCGATCGATCTGTTCTACTAACTGTAACTTCTCTAAGCACCAATATATTATAAAAAGAAATAGCAAGGAAAGTTTGGCAAAACGATAATTCGTTTCTGAAACTCTGACAGTAGTAAGGCCCTCTTACAACTGAAGCTAATTGATGAAAAAAGAGGATATTGTCAAAATAATGTCCACGGACTTAATATCATTATGCGCCCAAAGCGGTTCATTTGGCAAACATTTGCAGTTTTCGCACGACAAACAATTAGCTGTACAAAGCGGCTTTGAACGGACGAGATAAATCGTACGTGCCACATACCACGTTTGCTATTTTTGAACAAAGGATGATTGTTTCGCAATAACTTTCGCGAATAATTTGATCAACTATTACAGTTACCTTTTCTACTAGAAGGATTATCAGGTTCTTTAAATCATAAGCTTTACTAATCTCCTGCGAGGGAGAAAAAAATCTTTTTGCGTAACTTTTTTACGCTTAAATATGCTTATTTTTCAAGTGTGTTAATTTCCTCTTATCTTCTCTTCAATAAAAAGCTGAAAAAGGTTTCAAATGTAAATAACTGTAGGTAACATTGTATGTCCATGATAATAGATCTTTTACGAGTATTTATCCGTTTGAGCCGAGGAAGGTTTCCTCTTCTTTATTTCACTTGACCATTTGAGTAAACGGCAAACGTCATATTCAAGTTGCGAATTTCTCAAAATAGAAAATGAGCAGATAAAAACAGCTCAAAACAATTCTTATGGATAAAAAAAATTAGGTGCAACTACTAATTTATCTGTGGAAATAATAAACAGTAAACGACAAGTTAAGGGGAAACTTGGTCACGTGGTAAAAATTCGCGTTTGCCGTTTGACGTGAACGTGATGCTTAACCTGTCTAAGGCCAAGGTCAGTAGAAACGTGAAAAGAGAACGAGGACAATGTCCAGCAATCTTGACAAAACAAGTCTGGTCAATAAAGAATTTATTACACGCCTGATAAAATATTTTTTCCTTGCGGGTCCAAAGCGCGGGAAATGCCAAGAGGCTATTAAGAATGTCTTATCTTGCCCGCTCGGGTAGCCGATCAGAGCGAAAGATTGGCTTCATCTTGCCTGCTCGCGAAATAAGCCATATAACGCTCTTGGCTCCTGTCGGTACCCTTTTAATGATAGCGGAATGGCAGTTTGCAGACTATTTGATAGTCAATGCTAGGGTTCACGACAAAGGGAAAAATTACTCATCACTATTCTCAGAGAGGGCTGCGGTCCCTCCATTCCAATTAAGCCTTCTTCAATTCAGAGCTAACATTTTTTCTCCATCTCTTCCTTTAAAGAAATGGCTACAGTCATCCAAGTTCTGTCTCTTTGGATTGTGCTTACAGCTGGTGCAATCAGAGGCGAGTTCCTAGGAGGGATAACAGATGCTTTTGAAAATGCTGACCAAAAGCTTTCAGCAGAAATGCAGTCACTACGCCAAATTATCGGGGCCCTGTCCCGACAAGTCATGCTGCAGCAGATGTTTGTTGAAGAACGCATCAGATCTGATGGTGATTCGGGTGTGAAGCAAGTGCGCCTCAGTAACACTGGAACACGTAACTACTTTTCAGATACCCACGGCAACTCTAGAAGACTCTTGGCTATTCATGAACACGCAAACAACATCCGCACGGTGGGCCTGGGAGAGTTCATTGGCGTTCTTAATGGGGTAGAATTTAGGACAAGACACAACGACTACCGGCTCTACATGCCAAGCAAAACTAGCAAAGAATACCACGCAACGGAACCAATTCCTTTTCCAGAAGTACCACCAGAGGTGAAAAACAAGTCTACCGTGGATGAACAAATCGTGGAGATGCGCGAATGGTTCAGGGCATGGAAATCACAAAATCACACAGTTAGAGATTACAGGAAGTATTTCAAGCCCGTACTGTGCTTTCTAGAGGGCGCCTGGACCACAGCAACAAAAGACATCGACGAGCCGTTTGAAAGTGACAGACATTTTATTGATGCCCAAACATGGTTTGACCTACAAGAAAAAATTCGCTTTACTTCTTACACTGGCAGGAAGGACAATCTCGAAAACTTCTCCTTCCTTCCGACCACCATCATTGACATTATAAACGAAACGATTCCTGTCTTTGCACAATGGAATTACCGCATTTTGTGCCACCCAGTGAGCCATGACATTCCCTTGAATAGATTTCGTGTGGTTGACGAGTTCCACGCAAGGCTTCCTGCACGAAGAAAATACGAGGAACAGAAAAATTTCCGTGCAGCAAGATTCCAACTCAACCCTCAAGACTCAGACACGTGGACCGAAAAATACAACAATCCCAGGTTCACACTGCTAGATGAGCTGATGAGCGAGATTCCTGGAAAAGACAACTATCAAGCTAATCTAACGGATGAAGCATTTGAGCTACCAGCTCACACCATTGACCCAAAGAAGAGCGGAAAAATAAATGCCGGTTACTACCATCGCTGGTTCAAGGTTTTGGAAAAAGACGCTATGGGCGAATCCTTAAGGCGTCGCGGCTATGCCGATGAGAACCTGTTCATGGCCATGACCACCCAACCTAAAGTGGCTGGTATGACACTCAAGACCTGCAAGGGTTCAAAACGCTGGCCTCGGTGCAAGACAGTTTCTCAGAAGTTTTCGTATGCCATTCCATTCGAAATAATATATATGACACCCCTGAACAAATGGAACCCGTTTGACCTTGAGTACAAAGGAGATGAGAAGACGCCCTACGGAAAGACCGTGTATCTTGGTGGTCGCTATGGAGGAAGAACTCCAGAAAGGGCCTACAATGGTACCAATAGCAAGAAGTACTATCTAACTCCATCGGCCTTCTTTTCAGGAAAGGAGGTTAGCAGCGACGCTGCAGACACCACCAAGAATAGCGTTGGAGTTTTGGATCGGAATGGAATTGATGTTAGGATCACCCGCGCCAGCGGAACACGAATCTTTCTTCCACTCATTAGCGGCATAGGAATCTGTCGACAGCGATATCCAATTATGCCTGTTCATGGAGAAGGAAGTGCTGTTTGGAAGGAACTTGAGGCGACTAAAGATATCCTGATGAAATCCAATACTTACAGCTACATCTATAGGGAACCACTGATAGGAAACGGTAATGTTCCACCCACGGAACCTGCAAAGAGATCCCTGACGCTGAAGATGGAGGATGCAGCAGCCACACCACCAGGACCACACACCCACGAAGTCACTTTGACACCAGAGGAGGTGGAGCTTGCTAAAAAAGGACAACGTATTGACAACATTATCACCTCACCTGGAGCTGGTCACCAACATACAATTGCCATCGCATGGAGAAACAACAAGTGGTCAATAGATAACTGTGCTGGTGGATGTGACAAAGGAATGTTTCGATGCTGTGACAAACATGGCAAGTTCTTAGTCACAGTTGTTAATGTGTAACATGCTAGGGTTCGGCTAGTATATGTATTGCCAGCGGCAAAAACTACCAGTAAAAGTGTTTTTAATGATTAACTTATTGCCGTCAAAAGATACCACGAGAGAATTGTATGCAAGTCTGTCCTAAGAATTAAAACGTTGTAAACAGGGACAAAAACATGACTCAAGTGTATATTTCAGTTATAGTTGGCGTTTTTTTAACACATTAGAGCTGCACAGATACTACAGTCAACTCTCTCATAGCGACCACTTCTCACGAGCAGCCACCTCCCGTAAGCGACCACTTTGAAAATAACCGTTTTGTTTCTCACTCAAATACTGTGTCAAAAACTCTCTCGTAAGCGAACACTACTTAAATTCCGTAACGACCGCGACCACTTTTTAGCCCAAAATTTTTACATATTCTTTTGTTTTCTGTATCCCGTAAGCGACCACCCGGCATGATTGTAAGAAAACCATTGCCTGAATGTCACAAAAGTTCAGTTTTTGATATTACTGACCAAGCTTGCTAAGAGATTATAGCAGTAGAGTTACACGGAAGGCGGCGGTAATACGATCTCTATAAATGATGATGCAAAATGTTATGTCCATACATAGTTTCAACATCTTCAAGCGCTATTCGATGTATAGGATTATTGCTAGTTGTCTATTTGCCTAAGTTTTAGCTTTTAAGGTAAAAACTTTATGTGATTATGTTAATCAGTTCAGTTTAGGCTTATTTTCTTGATTGACCATGACCATTTTGTCTTGCACCAAGGGTGGTCTGTTACGAGAGAGTTGACTGTACATTTAGGCAATGGAACCCCACTACTGGGTGCGTTTGAACGCTAAAAAAAAGACTTTCCCCGACGGTTCTCCCGGTGGCTCGTTTTTAATGCGACGGCTACGAAACTTTGAGAAGATCTACATCTATTATTTAGCAATAATAACATGAAACAATCCGATACTACTAGTGGTAAATATTTTTGAGGAAGTTAGCGATTAAGTGGGCCCTACTTTTCAAAGAAACTCGCGCCAAGTTAAAAATTTTGCTGATTGTTGGGAGTGAAATTTCTGGTATCAGCTTTTATTGACAAAAATTTTATGACAAATCGTTGAATAAGAATTTAATCACAATTCAGCTCTGAATTTTTTCTTTAAAATTTCAGAAACGAATTGCTCTTAGGCAGAACGAGCCGCCAATTCGAATTTTCGGGACAAGTTAGCGCCTGCTATAATCATGAAAACCAAGCCGATAGGCAATCGTGCCATTCTTCCTCCAAACCTTGCTCTGAAGTCGAGTGATTTTATTTGAAATATCCTTCCGCAGTTGTGACTTAAACTCCTGTTACATACATTTCAATGTATTGCAATGACTAAGCATCGCTTTTTTTACCACAGTGTGCTGCATCAAATTCAACAAAAACGTAATTGGGATTATAAGCCACTCTGTATTCAGAATTGTAGAGCACCTTTGTTTATGACTACGAAATGATCTCGCAACCGAGGGGGAGGAACAACAAAGATGCCTATCCCCTGTATGCCTGTAAACCGCAATATCACAGCACAAATAACGTTACTAAGAAAAAAAATACGACCATTGCATAAATCAATGTGTACAAATTTCGTGACTTCTCTCTTGGCTGGGTAGTATTTTTCATGTGGCTCAAAGTAATTTAGGCTAAGTCAAACACGATACAACAGGTGCGGTTACACGAGACACTTTCAACGTGGAAAATGACTTTTTTACCGTGCGAAATCGGTTTGGTGCGTGTGACCGCAATTTCGCGAGATAAACTTACCAAGGGAAATATCCATGCATATGTTGTGGGTCAACTTTATCGTTGGTTCAAAATTTATTTTCCTTAGATTGAAACCATTATCATATAGTACCATAGCCCAAAACAAAGGAATACAAAATTTGAACCAATCATGAATAAAATTGAACTACAACAAATACGGCAAAAAGAAGAAAAAAACTGCCCATGGCATTTAACGTGGTAAAAAGAAAGGAGATGGCTGGGGGTTTGTGCAGGAGCGTTGCATTTTACAGCTCGGGTTCAAGTGTGAAGTCATTCTGCGTTCTTTTACGCGCTTCTGGGAAGTTCTCGCTGTTTTTACCCCGGGCCACCCATCCCTCTTGGCAGGGAAAGTATGTGGTAAGGTTTTTAGTTTAGACTGTGACGTATGACCGTGCCTAGTTTCGAGGCAAAGCCTGTCGACATGGACGGACGCGCGTTCTTGGCGCTCTGCTACATACTCGCATATTTTCTCGGCAGTTTAGGCTCTAAAGCCAATTTAGCTACCAGAAATCACTGGGAATCTGTTTTAACTATTTCCGAATTGAAATGGTATATACTACGTGTGTATCCATCGAAAATGGAATTACATTCAAATACAGTGAAACCTGTATTAAGCGGACACCGTATTAAGGTGACTCGACCCAGTNACTTGTAATTAAATTCCACGACCCAACATGCCAGTCACCGGAAATGTGAAAGATTGGCTCGAATCGCCACCCACAAATTTTTCGATTTTTACATTTAAAAACTTGACTTGACGAACTTATTTGATTAGTTTCACCGTACTGTATTGTTTTCTATTTCGTTTTGTTTGTATAACGCTTTTTTCACTCATATGATTTCTTCAAATTTGAGTTGCAATCAATGTTTATGGTACTTTGATCAATTGGTTCACTTTGATAAAGAAATTAATGCAAACTTCTATCGTCACAGTCTATGGGAGTATTCTAACGTTTCCACTGTTCATTTGAATGGCATTTGACACCTCAAATGACGTTAACTATCGAAACCTGTATTAGGCGGACACCCTGTATTAAGCGGACACTACAGCATTCCCCGAGGGTGTCCGCTTAATACAGGTTTCACTATAAAAGACCAAGAGCAAAAGCATTCTTCAGGCGGAGAATTGTTTATTGTCACAATTCCACAGCTATAACTCAATTCTTTGAACTTCTCAAGCTTTCAGGGGACATCTGTAGTAACCGAGGACCGGCAAAAGAAGACGCTTAAAGTCACTCGAGACCTTTTTACTCATATAAACGATCTATTTTTCCACGTTAAGCAAACTATTTTGAACTCTTACGCCGACCTGATCACCAGATCTGCTACCACTCTGATGTGGACCCACTTGTTCTAGATAGGTACATTAGTAATGACGTGGAAAATGCAAACCCAAGGTACAGCCAAAATGGCATGATCTTTGACGCAAAGAAGCATCAGACGTTAGTTGCTGGTCATACCGACCATCAGTTTTCTTTTCCAATGAAATGAGAGTGCATACTGTATGTTCGGAATGGGTATAGATCAGTGTTAGACTAACTTTGATAGAATACTGTTTGCAAGAAAAATTGATAATCAGTTTATTGTTTATGTTAACGGTTACGCAACATCATCTCTAAGGATACATTGCTTAAAACTATACAAGGTATAAATTCTGCCGCACTTTAGTTTATCAATGTTCTTCATGTAATGATCTGCGGTATTTTCCTAGGCATGCGTGCACAGTTTTTAATGTGTGAATTTCAGCCATGTTGTGCAGTTCTGTTCTGGAGATTAATTCTGTTTTGAATCCTCAACCATCCTAGTTGTTTAGTAAAGATTATTACAAGGTGTCAGGAGTGAAGCACGAGAAGAAAATTCTGCGACGGTAGGGTGAAGTTGTGGAACGAAGACAGAACGTTGGCATCGGCGATCTGGAAAACTACATGTCCCAGGAAACTGTAACTGGAGCAGGAAATCTTGGCCAGATAGAGGAAGCAAACGCACCTGAAGAAAAAGGAACCACTCCGGAGGTACACCTGACCTCAATTAAATAACGGAAATACAACTCAAGGAAATGCCGGAAATACAGATCAAGACAATCTCGCGACTACACAAGAAATGGCGTTCCATTTAGGCCTCCCTTCCCCAGAACCACTCGATCTGCGGAAATGTCTCAGAAAACTTGAAGAAGTTCAAACAAAAGTACACAACGGAAATACAGATCAAGACAATCTCGCGACTACACAAGAAATGGCGTTCCATTTAGGCCTCCCTTCCCCAGAACCACTCGATCTGCGGAAATGTCTCAGAAAACTTGAAGAAGTTCAAACAAAAGTACACACATCACGAAATTGCAACTGGCATAAACACCAAGGAAAGTGCAACCAGAGTAGCTACGCTGCTAAAAGTCATTGCCAACGATGCTATTGATGTTTTTAACACTTTGCCATGGGATGCAGAGGTGATGACAAAAAGATTGATAAAATAATAGAGAAACTTGAGGAATTCTGTGAACCGAGGAAAAAACTTAAGTTACGAGAGATACGAGTTCTTTTCAAGAGCCCAGAAAAGTAGCGAAACCATTGATCAACATGTTACTGTGTTAAGGAAGCTGAGTGAATCATGTGAACTCAGTACATTGAAAAACTCACTTATCAAAGATAGAATTGTACTTGGCAGCAGTGACCCTAAGACAAGAGAGAGATTGTTTAGGATTTCAGACCTAACCCTGGAAAAGGCCATAGATATGGTTCGATCCGCAGAGGCAACAGAGATACAACTAAGACACAAGGAAAACGACTCAGCCGTACATGGAATTGGAGTGACGAAGAAAAAACCACCATACAGAAAGACATCCTCAGCCAATGAAGATAGATCCAGCTCAAGCAAGATATTTGATTGGAGAAATTGTGGCACAAGACATTGTGTAAGAGAATGCCCAGCATATGGCAAGACATGTCACAATTGCAAGAAACAGCATCATTTCCAGAGCACGTGCTGGTCATAAAAGACAGTCCAAGGGCTAATGGCAGAAGAAGAAGAGGAGAATGACAGTGAGTCTCCACTGTTTGTAGGAGCAGTCACTACAGAAGTTCAGATTCAGAATGACGAGTGCTACGGGACTTTACCAGCACAGGGACATCTCATGCGACTTAAAGTGGACACTGGTTCGCAAGTGAACATAATACCATGTAAGGAACTCAAGAAGATTGAACGGGATAACCCCTAAAAGGATCTGTGCAACTAAAAACTGGTTAGTTATTCAGAAAATAATCTCAAGGTTCTAGGAATCATAAAATTACCCGTGAAATCCAAGTCAGATGTTGAACTAGAGCCAACATTCCATGTAGTGGAAACAAATCAGCCGGGATTACTGGGACTTCGCTCCTCACAAAACTTGGGCCTAATTAAAGTTGTCATGACAGCAAATACAGAGAGGGAAGAAACCACCACCGATGATAGCATCCCAACTACAAGGACATCTCAAGAATTGAAAGAGGTCTAGCAGAAATATGCACATGGACTGGGACGTTTAGATAAACCTTACCACATTGAAATACATCCAACCGTTTCAACAGTTATCAATCCTCTTAGAACAATACCAGCCGCACTTCAAGAGAGAGTGAAACCAGAGTTGGATGACACGGGGAAGCGAGGAGTAATACGCAAAGTCGAAGAACCCACTGACTGGGTTAATTCATTTGCCTTAGTTGAAAAGCCTGATGGTAGTTTGCGCATTTCTTTAGATTCAAGACACCTGTACAAGGCCATAAAAAGGGAACATTTTCAGCTACCCTCCACTGAAAATATCACAACCTGCCTGGCAAATGCAAAATGATTTACCAAGTTTGATGCAAATCGAGGTAATTGGCAGATACCACTAGATGAAAGGAGTCAACTTCTTTCCACCTTCAGTACGCCATTTGGAAGGTTTTGCTAACAAGTTACCACATTTGGCATTCAATCTTTTCAAGAAGTTTTTCAGAAGCGAATGAGTCAACACTTTGTTGACTTGGAAGGTGTTGAAACTAACATTATTGTACACTCTGGCACGGAAATGAAACATGATTGCCGTCAAAAGAAATACCTGAATCGATGTAAGAAGATTAACTTGAAACTAAACGAGAAAAGATGTGTCTTCAAAGTCAAGGAAGTCACAAACTTACACAAGAGGCGACCAAACCCGATGATGAAAAGTTCGTGCCATTAAGGACATGCCAGCACCAACTGACAAGAAAGGAGTTGAAAGATTACTCGGTACAGTCAACTACCTCGGAAAATTCATTCCCAATCTGGCATCTCTCAATGAACCCATTAGGGTGCTTCTGCGAAAGGACATTGAATTTCAGTGCTCACATGAGCAAGGCAAAGACTTTCAAGAAATTAAGACTGTCTTAACTGAGAATAGAGGTCCCGTTCTCAGGTTTTCTAATGTACAAAACCAGTAACCATCAGCTGCGATGCCTTACCTACAGGCCTTGGCGGAGTCTTACTGCAAGACAATTGTCCCATGGCTTACGCAGCAAGATCGTTAACCGAGGTCAAATCAAGATACGCTCAAGAAGAAAAGGAAGTCTTGGCAGCTCAGTTCAGCCTTGAGCGATTCAACCAATAAACTTACGGAAAGAAAGTGCACGTGGAATCAGATCACAGACCCCTAGAAATAATTGTGAAGAAGCCCTTAGCGACAGCACAGCCTAGCCTACAAAAAATTCTGATGAGAATGCAAACGTATGACTACAGACTAGAATATAAGCCTGGAAGGGAGTTAGTACTCCCAGACATGCTGTCCTGGGCACCATGCTGTCCTGAGACAACAGATATTAACACCATGCAACCGGAAATTGCACTGCACGTTCATCTGATACAGTCAGGCCTGCCAGTCTCAAAACCCAAACTTGAAGAAATACGTGAGGAAATAACCAAAGACGAGTCACTGAAAGACCTCAGTGAAATTATCAAACATGGATGGCCAGAAACAAAGGCCTGTCTCTGGAAGAGTACCTGCATGTTTTGGGACGTAAGAGATGAACTGACCGAACTGAACAGTGTCATTCTAAGAGGTGGAAGATTTTTTATCCCCACCTCAATGCGAAAGGAAATGTTAGAAAGAATTCATCAAGGCCACATGGGCATAGAGAAATCCAAGCAACGAGCATGAGAAGTGTTATACTGGCTTAAGATGGGTTCTGGAATTCAGGTAAACATTGCAAGGTGCACAGTATATGCCAACAACACCAGAAGCAAAATGCGAAGGAGCCAATGATTCCCTCCCAATTACCAAGCAAGCCTTGGGAAAAGGTAGCAACAGCCCTGTTCACCTGGGATAAATCAGAATACCTCATTACTGTGGATTACCACCCGTGATTTTTTGAAGTAGCCAAACTGCCAGACACCAAAAGTAACACGGTCTCCGCCCACAGCAAATCTGCTTTTGCGTATCACGGAATACCATGTGAGGTAATCAGCGACAATGGTACTCAGTACTCATCCAAGGAATTTGAATCATTCACGAAACATTGGGAATTCAAACACACCACCACCAGTCCACTCTTCCCACAAGGAAATGGGCTCGTTGAAAAATCAGTTCAAACGGTAAAATATCTCCTAACCAAAGCAAAGCAAGACAACCGTGATCCATATCTAGGATTATTAGAATACAGGAACACACCTATTGATGAGGTCGATTCACCAGCCCAACTTCTCATGAGTAGACGACTCAGATCAATTATCACCACGACTGAAGCTCAACTGCAACCCAGAGTCCTGGATCCAAACAGAGTAAAGGAAGGTATAAGGCTGAAGCAAGAGAAGCAAAAATACTATTTTGATCAGTACACCAAATAGCTACCCCGTTTAGAAAAAGGCGAGCAGATCAGGGTAGGCATGGAAAAGCGCTGGGAACCAGGGGTGGTAGTGCACCATGCAGAAACACCTACAAGGTCCTATAGAGTGCAAAGAGATAATGGTGGAGAAAACCACAGAAATAGGAAGGTGTTGATGAAACTGCCGTTCTGTGGTCTTGCATCAACAGGAAGTGTAAATGGACGTTCACCTTGCAAGGAACAAGTCAGTTAAGCAAACCTAGTAGCAGAGGAACCTGTCTCAGCGTCCCAAGAGCAAGAGAGAAAGCATTCAGGCGATGGCTCTATGTAGACGTCAGAGCAATACAAGAATAGGAGTGGAAGGGTCATACGGAGGCCATCACGATTTTATAAGGACTATGTTTAACGTTTGTGAACATTGAACATCAACCGTTCTCACTTCTTACGGAGACCATTATGATTCGAGGACAAGAACTTGTGAACATTAACTGTTTCCGTTTTCGCACATAGCATTTATTGGATGCTTGATTGTTCTCTCAAGAAACCCTTTTTCTTCCTGTGGTTTGTATCGTTGCTTATTTTTCTTTATAGGGGAAAGTTGTAATGATCAGCGGTATTTCCCTAGGCATGCGTGCACAGTTATTAATGTGTGAGTTTAGGCCATGTTGTGCGGTTCTGTTCTGGAGATTTAATCTGTTTTAAATCCTTAACCATCCTAATTGTTTAGTAAAAATTATTACACTTCAGTATGGCATTTTGTGGCACACACAGCAGTGAAAAGCTGGAAGGACTTAATAAATGCATACTTTGATTTATTTTAACTCATTACACTTCAACTGCACGACCTTACTTAAGAAGGTTGAAATGACTTCGTTGTATAACAAGCGCATTCAAAAGATTTTTTCAATTATTTTTTAATGTTTTTATAAACAATATTTATTATGACATTTGCTCTAAGAGCCTAAAGGGCTCATCTAGAGAGCTTAAGTTTTTAATATAAATTTACCCCACCCGTTGGGCTGGGTTTGTTTATTGGCTCCACCTTTGTCAGACACCATTCCCCACGCTTATTTATTGCTGACACGGGTTCAATTCTATTTTATAATAAGGTACCTATTATAATTTGGCTAGTGATATAAATTGCACAATTCGGTTGGAGACAGGAGCATATTCTGTGTACAAGTACAAACTTTGTGGTCAAAGGAAACTGTACGAACAATGCACAATAAACAAGAGTTTAGAAATGAGGATTATTCATTTATCAAAATGCTTTAAGTAGACTTACCGTTATGATAAGAGTGTTATTTGCATGAGCTGCAGAAATTGCACTTTGTTCTAACTTCAGCTTTGCTCTATCCATATCTGGAATGTTAAATCTTTTAAAATATCTGCAAAAAAAAGACAAACAGTTTTCCTTTTAGAAAAAAAAAAAGATTAAGTATAAAATAAAATTATTTATTTAATTCCTAGATGGCTGATTACTTGAATTAAATAGAAAAGATTGAGAGAAATACAAAATGCATTTTTGGGACATAAAACTGTACCATTGTTGCTTTCTATACAGACAGAAAATGGCACATGTATATCTTGCAGTTAATTTTTTATTTCAGTTTATTTTTCCATTGTTTTTAGGTATGGTATTGTATGCTCATGAATTTGAAAAAAAGGAAAAACAAAAATTACCTGAAATAAAAAATTAACTGCAACATACACAACAAAAGGGTGCTCTTCATAGCTCATTTCTACAGCTAATGAGAAAAAAATCCAATATTTTCCTTATTAGTATCTGTTCGTCTTATGTGAAGTTTGAAGTTCAACATTGACCTAATGCACAATTCAAATGTTGAACATTACATGTACAGAGTACATTAACCAAATTTAATGCTAATAAGGAAGAGTTGCAGAATTCATGTACATGTATTCCTCTAGCCTGTGTGGCAGGCTAGTATTCCTCTCACTCATTAGCATCATTCAGCTGCCACAAGTTCTATGTTTGAAACAGGCTTCAGCTTCTTTAATGTGCACTAGACGGAAGACAACTTTTTTCAGCTTTTATTTGGCTCTTGCAGGCAACCAAAGAGGTTATAATTCTTTGAAATGGTTACGTAACAGGATTTACAATATTATTAAGCAAATATAATTTTCAATTAGTTACATTGTACCAGTACATTACAAACATTTTAATATCATTTAGCTCTGCATGACTACTTTACCTACTTTTTATTGCTTGTTCTGACAGTGATGGAGTTCTCATCTTCATTTACTGTCACACTGTACACATTCAGTGGATATGGAAGGTTTCTTATTCTCCATTGAAATGCTTTAGTGCTGTCCTTTCTTGTAAAGATTGGCTGAGAAGTTACATAAGAGAGCAATTAATTATCACCTCAGCAAATTATCACCTTTCCACATCATCATGACTAGCGTACACTGTTTGCTGGTATATTTTAATATTTTCTCATCATGCGCAGCCAAGACAACTGAGTTGCCACGCCACTGTCTTTAAATGATGGCATTTATCTAATATACCTTTATAGATTTAACCAAGGCTTGGGGCAAATCTCCCATTAATTAATTTATAATTGACCTCAAACAATAAAATTGTAACCATTGCAAAGAAATCCACTTGGAGATGAGCCTGCTATCAGTTAGCAACTGATAACTAGTCATCGGAGAATTACATTATGTAAAAAAAAAATACATGTTAACTTCAATGGGTCGACTTAAGAGTTCGCGATATACTAACAGTCATGTGATACTGGTCAGCAGATAACCTTTTTTGACAGCTGTCAATTGACCACAACGTGGATATGCAATATCAGGTCCAGGCTCTCAGACTTGCTGAAAAGCGTGACATTTTACATTGGTTTCCCTGTGGTGCGGATGTACGGTCAGGTGGCTACCAAAGTTTCTTGGGTGGATAGATAACAAAATTTTCTTAGCAAAGCGTGCACAGGGAGCTCCACTATTATTGATTCTTATGGTTGTATTCACACCTTTATTACAGTCAAACCTGCATTAAGCATTCACCTTTGGGGAATGGCCATAACTGACTGCTTAACACAGGTTGACCATTATTTTAATACAGGTTTGAAAAACCTTACCAAGAAGAAAAAGATGGTGGCAAAGCAAAATATCCATCACATGATAAAGTGACCTCAAAGTGTTTCTAGACGCAACTGACTTCTTGTGCCAAAAGAAAAGAAGTATAGCTGTACAAGACCACTGAATGCTATGTACAATGTGTTAATTGCTCTTTTATGACACATCTTGACATCACATTCTTGTCCATTTATATGTAATAAAAGTGAAGACCATAAGAAATAACTTGTGGGACCATGGAAAGGGTGACCACTCCTTTAAGGTGGCTCGACTGGATTTTTTGGGGTTGATACCTCCCAAGTTTGAGCATTAACTACGTCGGCATGAATAAAGATATGGAAAAAAAGTTACCACAACTGTATTATATAAAGATGAAAATTTCTTATGATCTGGGTTTTATTGCAATCGGAGTCGCCATGGCAACGTAATGATGCCATTGCGTTTTTCATTTATTGTTGTGTTTCTCCGTACCAGGAGTTTTTTGAAGAAATCGCTTAAGGGAATATGTACCTGCCATAACTGCCTCCATTATGGCAAAGTTTAAAGAAATTCTATGAGAGCGTTTTCGAAATATTTTGAAATGCAGTTTTAAGAATCATCAAAGTAGTGAAATAGCATGCTAGCCGCATAATTCGCTAATATTTTAAGAAAATGATAAGCTTTGGAATCGCGGCTTCTTCTCATAGTGGTTCGATTCCATTGAAAACTGCATACAAAAAAAGAGGGGAATTGCTCTGGGCGATCGCGAGTAAGAAGAATTTTATTAACTTGCATTCAGCTGCTTTTGATACAGTTTTTGAACGTAATTTGGTCCATGCCTAAAAATTTCGCATTTTTCCAAAAACCGCTCGATAAGTTTTTTTATAAATTCGACAATCCCGAAATCAATCGTCAAGAAATATTCCCTGCAAGTTTCAAGAACATTGAAAACAGGGAAGGCTTTTAAATAGGCCCTCAAACATAACCAATTTCCCCTCCAGATTTTGTGTTTACAAGTGAGCGTCCTAATTATTCACTGGCGTTGTTTTCAAGTTCCATATGCACGTGCACAACTAGCAAAAGATATAAATTTGCATAAAAAAGAACTCTCAATTACTTTGCGAAGAAATATCCGGAATATGCTAATAACTGGCTTGTCGTCACAGATAGCAGTGAGAGCCGAAACGGTGAACGTCACAGCTCATTGTGTAGGATGCAAAACTTAATTATCTTACTCGGGTTATAACATCACAGAAACTCTCAGAAAGAGTTGCTCTGATGTTATAATGTATCACTAATCTATTTACCCGGTAATTAGCACATCCCGGAGATCTAACCGAGGGTCCTTTTTGATGCAAATTCTGTCTTTTTGCTAAATGTGCACGTGTATATGAAACTTGAAAACAATGCCAGTGAATAATGAGGACGCTCGCTTGTAAACACAAAATGTGGGGGAAAAATTGGCTATATTTGAGGCCCTATTTAAAAGCCTTCCCTGTTTTCAATGTTCTTGAAACTTGCAGGGAATATTTCTTGACGATTGATCGCGGAATTGTCGAATTTATAAAAAAATTTATCGAGTGGTTTTTGGAAAAATGCGAAATTTTTAGGCATGGACCAAATTACGTCCAAAAACTGTATCAAAAGCAGCTGAATGCAAGTTAATAAAATCCATCTTACTTGCGATCGCCCAGAGCAATTCCCCTCTTTTTTTGTAAGCAGTTTTCAGTGGAATCAAACCACTATGAGAAGAAGCCGCGTTCCCAAAGCTTATCATTTTCTTAAAATATTAGCGAATTATGCGGCTAGCATGCTATTTCACTGTTTTTATGATTCTTAAAACTGCATTTCAAAATATTTCGAAAACGCTCTCATAGAATTTCTTTAAACTTTGCCATAATGGAGGCAATTATGGCAGATACATACTCCCTTAAGCGATTTCTTTAAAAAACTCCTAGTACAGAGAAACACAAAGATAAATGAAAAACGTAATGGCGTCATTACATTGCCATGGCGACTCCGATTGCAATAAAACCCAGATCATAAGAAATTTTCATCTTTATATAATACAGTTGTGGTAACTTTTTTTTCGATATCTTTACTCATGCCGACGTGGTTAATGCTCAAACTTGGGAGGTATCCCCCTAAAAAAATCCAGTCAAGCCACCTTAATACAGGTCACTTTTACAGTGTATAAGGGAAATGATTTTCAGAACTAATAAGAATGTGACTGCTTAATGCAGGTCTGCCTAAAGGTTTGAATGCAATCCACTGCTACTGCCAAATCCTCTAAGCTGGTCACAAATTTATCAAATACAGGGTAAAAATTACAGACAATAACATTTACTCTTCTAAGTGTACACTTATCATAATAATAGTTATGCAACGAGAATGGTCCATTACATAAAATCAGAGTAGGCTAATTGATAATAATTAATTGCAAAAGCCACATGTTAAAAACTACAGCAACTTTACAAATGAACAAGTTTTAATCCTCCGACAGTAAAAAATTGGTATATCTGACACAAAAATGCATCCATGACCAACAGCCTTCAGGTTAGGTCAAGCTCCGACTCACATTTCCTCTGCTCTCTGTAATATTCTCCACATCAAGGTTGACTGGTCTCATGTCTTCACCTATCTCAAATTCCCATTTCCCCTCTTTTCCAAGTCCAGATTTACTTTTCCATTTTCTCACTGAAACAAAGGAAAAAAAAATTGGATGACACACATAGTAATTCAATATGTACATGTACATCATTCATAAATTGTACTGAAGAGGTACTCTTACTATGGTGGCCCACAGGGGACACGCTGCAAATGAAAAAGTTGCTGCAAATAAAAAGCAATTGTTGTAATTTAAATAAAAGTTGCTGCTGCAAATATAAAATTATTGTAGTAAATAAAAAATAGTTCCTGCAAATAAAAGCAGTTGCTGCAAATTAAGTGACAGGAAAGTATGTGCATGCACTGATGGGAAGAGGAGGACTCAGTATAGTTGTACGAAAGTCAAAGACAGACCTGAACGGACTCCCAATGTGGTTTTTGCAGTTGCAGCAACTTTATTTAATTTGCAGTAACGTTTCTAAGATCTGAGATTTGATTTGTAACCTTGGTAACCTTTTGTAAACATGCACAATATGACAACCTCTCAAAAAATGATGTGTTTTTGTTTATGCGAATTATGTGATATTCTGAGCGGTGATTCAAATCAATGACAACTGTGGTTTACAACAACAATCAGTGACAACTTTTGGTTTAGAAAGCTGTACATAACACATAGCCAGCCGAAGCTCACTTAAGTGTACAATAGACGATTATAAACATAACAACATGTGTGAGGTGTTGTGTTACAATGGTCAGTTCAAAGATTATAAAGGTTTGTATGGGATCGCGACTGATTTAATGTTTTAAAAAAAGAAATAGCAGTGAAAACTCTGTCAACAGTAAATCATCGAGATTGGCAGAAATGGGGATTAAATGTGAATAAAAGATGAGGAATGCAACACCAAAAGAATGTAAGTTAACTTTTATTCAAAAATTAACATTATTTGTTTCTTTTAAAAATTAAATCAGTTGCGATCCCGTGCAAACCTTTACAATAAATTATATTCTTCGAACCCACCGTTGTAACACAACATCTCACATATTCTTGCAAGCCCATACAATCCTTCCATTGAAAAACTTTGTAACACATTACCTCACAATTGTTTATAATCACCAGGTCCTAGTTGTTCAAAAGTTGGATTGCGCTATCCAACAGATAAATTACTATCCAGTGGATAAGTATTAGGGAAACCAATTGCGTTATCCACTGGATAGTGTTTTATCCGCTGGATAGCGCTATCCACCTTTTGAACAACTGGGGCCTGTTGTATACTAAACTGAGCTTGGGTTGCCTGTGCATAAAAGAAGTCCAATCACCATTCTAACCCAAGTTCAAAACAAGTCCAGCTCGACAACTCGAAATTTTCATCCGCTCAAATTCATCCCTATCCAAACTTCATGTGATGCTTACAAATTAAGTTTCTGGCTAAGGACAATTAATGACTGGAACCCTCTACCACCTAATAATTATTTAGACATTGATTCGACTGACAATTTTAAGCTTGCCACAAGTGCTTTTTGACTTAATCTGGCTGATTGCAAACCCACTGTCTTTTAGCTGTGAGTTTTGATTGATTATTTATTTTTTTATTTATTCTTGCGACATGTCTCCTTAGCGATCTTGCAATTTATTGATGTAGCTGCAGATGTTGAGAAAAGTCATTGCACAGTAATTCAATCCCAAAAGACCTGTAAAAGCTACCAGCGCCAGCTTATTTCTAATTTTCTGACCTAAAAGTTCTCCAGAGGATACATCATACTCTTCAACCATCTCTGCTTCATCAGGGAAAGTGTAATGTACTTTCCGACGGCCTAGAACGTATAAAAAGAGATAAAAACAGCTACATATACCGTGCCAACTCAATTCTTGATCAAGAAAACAGTAACACTACTTTTTTATAATATTATAGAAAACATTGTTGCAATGTATACATTCAACAAGACGTTACTAAACATCGCACTCAACTGAATTCGTGAATACTGCTACGCCTGCAAACTGCGATGCAAATAAAGCAGCTGAATATTCAAAACAATGCACGCAGGGACCCGAGAGGGAGGGATATGAGCTTACTTGCAGCTGTAGGTGTACTTTGTCTTATAAACTATTGTAGTTCTGCTAGCTTATACCAAGAAAAGCATCTGTTTAACTATGTGAACATAAAAATGAACTATTCACTTCTTACCGTCTTGAACAAGGCTTGTTTTTCTCGCGTTACGAATCGTTTCTAACCAAACAAATTTCACTGCTGCCGCCGCCATTTTAAATTTCATCACAAAAACGATGCCGCTGACCAACCCAAGGATGGCACAAGTAACGTAACCACGCTGGGGTGCCAGACCCGGGGCCAGTCCCAGAGGCTTTTCATGTGCTAAGCCCCACGTCGCATGCAAGAGGCGAGAGAAAACCTCTGGTACCCAGGGTAACCACGCTGTGGATTTTTCCCGATTTTCTTTCATACCATACATGTTAACAATGAAAATGTAGGACTAAAAACAGGGAGGGAAGCAAGGAATCATGGTAGGGGATGTTGGGATATATATTTTGGACTTTGAAGAAGAAGAAAGGGTGCTATTTCAACTCTGTTTTAAGACTTAAATCTTCTAGTATATTATTCTTATACGCATATGCCAACGTACTTCTGCAGATCTAAAAACTGGAGACCCTCTCTTTTGCTTTAACGCCCACCTAGAATACTGATGGGAGCCCCCCCCCCCCAATTATTGTATATCCACATACAAAGTCTCCACTTTTTTATTAAAAATTACAAGTTTTTTGTAATACATAAGGGGCACAATATTAGTTTATCTAGATGTGCCCCTCTCCTATCCTTCCTATATACAATGTGATTTAATTTAAGTGCTGTAATTTTGTATTGTACACGTTTCTTTCCTTTGTTAATATTACTTGTTACTTACTTTTTCACTTAATACCTCATTCTGTATTATCATCTCCTATGGTTTGGGGAAAAAACGAAAAAAAAAAATGAAACTGAAATTCTCCAGACTTTTAATCTCCATTTTATATTTCCTTACAGATGGTGAGGGAATTTTAAAAAAAATAATAAAAGTATTTTGCCCTTGGTGACCATTTTCTAAATTCTCATACACTTTTCTTTTGGTGATGTAAGGACATTGTTAGGAGAAAATTCATGTCGGTCACTCATGGGACTTAAAGCGTAAAGACATTATATGAAGTTTCACATGAGGTACATGCCATGAGAAGTCACTTTTATCATTGTAATCTGCAGCCTGCTCCACTGATGAAACTTAACTTCTAGTTAAGATCATCTGTGCATGTGTACCAGGATTTGAGTCTGTGCCATGATTGGCGTGTTAAAAATATCTTCAATAATTTGCCAATCAGGTTGACGGGAAATTCAAAAAGGATTTCCAGTAATTCATTGAGTCCATTGGGGGCCCAGAGCAAGGATATCAACGTTGCAAATCAGGATTAGATTATGTCTGCAACACAAGCTATATAATCTGGTAATGACGAAATAATCTTTCTCATTGATAAAATTTCCGCAAAAATGCCCCAGAAACCTCCTAAGAATAAAAAAAATTGAATTCTGAGAAAAATGGGCCATATTCCAAGCTAAAGAACACAAAAGCCTAGAGGTCAATTTTATCTGGGAGATATGGTCACATGTTCAATAAAGTGGAAGATTGGTGCCATATCTCGGAGACTCCTGGATAATCTGAGAGAAATGGCATAGATATTGCCATTCCTGACAATGACTAGTGGTACATATCCAATGCAAACTTTTCTTCCTCTCATTGGCCGAGAGCCCACCATGTGACCTACAAATAACTGCCTTCAAATAATGGTCTGCTCATGTGCAATGTCATCCAACTGTGTTTGTCTATGTTGTGGTTCAATTTTATCCTTGGTTTAAATTTTTATCTTCTTTTGTTTTAACTTCATTGTCATACATTACCATACCCAAAAACAAAATAAAAGAAAAACTAAACCAAGGATAAGATTGAACCACAACAGTTACAAATAATATTCTGTTCATTTGTAAATGAAACCACGCTTTTCTCCTTCTTGCGTGAAAATGGCAGATCACTTTGCTTCCTGAAGATATCAATTAAAAAACAAACTCGGTGACCAAGTGATTAAACAATTATTATTGAACTGGGTTATTGCAAAGTACCGTGATTTGTCAGTGTCACGCAGATCATCTACTTGCCACTCACAAATCACGACATTTTGCTCAACCTCGTCCAGAAATTTGTTAGTTATTTCTTTTGTTATGTTTGTTTTGTTTATTATTATTATTATCAATATTATCATTTTTTATTTATTTATTAACAAAAGGAATGTTAATTTTTTACTATTTCAGAACATAACACAGATAAACACTTAGCTCTAAAAATTTTCTCCTGGTTACATCTATTAAAATAATAGTACATGGCTAACAAAATTTAAGCTAAGCAATAACTCTTATGTGCATACTTAAGTGAAAAAAAAAATGTGAATCTGAAGAAAAGCTCCTTGGATTTTCCTTGCAGCAACAGTTTATGTGAGTGCAAATACTGTATATAATATTTATAAGGCACCAATGAAATGTTCTGTGAATTTTCCAAGGTAGTTCTGAAAAAGACCTAGCTAAGTTTAAAGAGAGTAGCCTGATAACAGGCACCTTATGTGCCAAGCGAGGCAAATGCAGCATCATAGCAAGGTGTAGGCCAATGGATCTTTGTAGCTTAAAATTCATATGGTACACAAACACCGTGATGGGAGGTAAAAAAATGCAGTGGGACCTCCAAAAGAAAGGAATTACCATTTTTAATTAAGCAACTCCTTGGTTTTTCTTCCCCCATTGCATTGTTAGCGTCCTAGTAAGGTGTTTTTGTACCCATGACTGTCTAGCAGCAAAAGGCCCATTAAACAAACAGCGGTCACTTTATACTCTCAACACACCTTATTTTAAATCTAAGCTACATCAAGATTTGATTTTCTGTTTCTGAGCTCTCTTTTCAAATGCCACTTATGTTTCTTTGATCTCACGTGTCTGCTCCAGTTCTCTTCCCCAAGAATAACACGGTTATCACAGATCTCACATACGTGCCTTGCATGCCTGTCATCTGTGACAATCACCCTCGAAAGAGGTTCATATAAAGGTTTTTCCCCTTTCATTAACTTATCCAAAACATCTAATGCATTTTTAAGAACATTGCTCCCCCAGTTTTCAAGATCAGTGACATCAAGACCATACACATCAGGAGCAGAGGACTGCGGGCGTGCCAAAAATCGGTTTTTCACCCATGTCATTTGCTTTTTAGCATATCTGCGGGTAGTAGATTTCATACTTTCAACACATAGAGATAAAAGAGCTTTATCTCTGTCAGAGGCTTTAGATTCATCAAACATCTTTCCCTCCTGCTTGACAAGAAACTCATGGAAATCTCTAAGGCCAATAGACTGAAAAATGCCTTCTGTGTATTTCACTGTGGTTTCTTTTTTCCCAAAAACAGAGTTATATTCCCTGTGGAAATTTAACAGCTCATTAATCAAGCCTCTTTCCAGCATTTCATCAACTCTTTCATCTAATCGTTTATTTAAAACATCTCTCTCACACTGTAACCAGAACACGCATATGTCATCGTATCTCAATGGTCCACCATAAGCACTGCCTCCGTTTTTCTGTTGCTGCTCTCTCAGAAGCTGACTGTGCTGTTTGCCATGCTGTTCATAAACCTGAAGACTGCGAGCAATTTTTCTGGAATCCCTTGGGTGGAGACGATCTGCCATAACAGGATCAACCTCCCTGAGTCTTTCATAGAGACTGGGTTCATAACTTTTGCTCTTACAATTAGAAATCTGTCCTATTGCCTCATCATGGCAAGACATTTGATCAGGCTGGCTGGATTTCTTGCCTTCATTGCACATTCCTTTCTCACAAATCACCCGAACAGAAGATGCACCTTCCAAAATTTGAATATCCTTTCGCCTTTTGATTGCTTTTCTAGGCCCCTCTGATTCATCCTCATCGCTACTTGAGCTACCAGAAGTACCATCAGGTTGATTGCATGCATCGTCAATCAACATATCCCACAAAACAGATTCAATGTAATAATTTGTGCCTCCTGCCATTATAGGAATTCTCCCTCTCTTCCTGATGTCATCGATCAATGGTATGGCCATGTTTCTGAATTCTACAACTGAAAATTCCTTCGGCGCCGACACGAAATCGATCAAGTGGTGTGGACACTCCAAAAGCTCTTCAGCGCTAACTTTGTTTGTTAAAATGTCCAGACCTTTGTAAACTTGCATGGAGTCGGCGCTAAGGATTTCACCACCAAATCGTTTCCCAATTTCGATAGCCAATTTCGATTTTCCTGTTCCCGTGGAGCCCAGAATTACCACAACGGGCAAGCGACGAAGATTGCCCATTCCAGCCGCCATCTTGGCTCGCAAGGAAAAGCATGGCACAGGCAGCCTACTTTGGTATACAGCAACCAGTGCCAGACTTCTCTCTAAAGTCTCTGAATTGAGTGGTTTTTGAAAACAACTGGAATAGACTCACAATACACTGTGCCAGTCGAGGAAGAATACTACGTCTTCGAATACTATTTTCGCTTGTTAAATGATTAAAAATAGGATTCAGTGGCCTTTTTCAATTATTTGATACTCAGCAAAGGATAATACCGGTAGGACTTATTCAGAATGGTAATAGGACGGAGTGGAGTCCAATTCGGCCTGTAATCATGATAGTGTTAGCGATCATCCGATTTGTTTAATCACGGGTAGGATTACAGAAACTTTGTGATATTTCAAGCTTTTCTAAAGTTTAAAACACAAGGTATTCCGAGAGGATTTTTCCCCTTAGGAGTGTAAATAAAAACCATTTAATTGCCGCGCGATGGCGCATACTGTCCAATTACTGCTAAAATCAGGACAGTTGATGCACCAATGAAAACTTTATTTACATGACAACCAATATATTACAAGTACAGACTACCTGCAAATAGCGAAGCTAATCGAGGCAGGTATACGTAGTATAGAAACGTATCAATTATTCTTAAACTACAATATTAATACAAAGAATGTTACAAAATAATAAATATGATGGCCAATCAGATTTGGGAAATTTGCTATGGGTATAATTGAACACAAAAACTAAATTGCGCCGGTTATAAAATTGATAACTAGTACGCGAGATTTATGGGCTCGATTAACTGCGAAAGCAAACTTTATTTTTAATCCATAAAAGTTACCAAAGAGAGCAGAGTTTTTGTAATTGCACTCATTTGGCGTTTCCGCGAGAGTTCGTCGAGAAAGTTGGCACGAGGGCACAGTGGGAAGTGAAGGGGTAGGGGAAGGGGAGAAAAGATAACACTTACCAGCAAGCCCCATCATGATTTCGCTCACGAAAGCATTTTCTGATTGGTGCAGTGCAGTATTAGTAGTGTTGATTAAAGAACGAACAAAAATCACTCAAACCAGATATGTTATGTCTAGTCGCACATAAAATGCTTTGGACAATATTGTGGTGGTCGTACTTCAGCGAAGGTCTTCTCAGATCTCGCTAGGAGGGTCTGTTCAGGATCTCCAGGGGTCTGTTCTCAAAATACCATCAGGAATTAGGGGAAAAACTCTGGCATTCAGGTTACCTTTCTTGCTGAAATTGTAACAGTTAGAACAAAACTGAATACCAAACTCGCAATCCTGACCGCAGAGCGTTGATTTATTTGGGGCTAATATTTTGGGTAACAAAAATAGCCTTCCTCAGGCCAGAGCTACATTCAGTTTATAATTAAGACATTGATGTTTAGCTCTAGCATCTCTACATTAGAGATCCCGCAAGAATGAACCAGTCGCTTTTATTTACGCGTTAAGTGGACCTCTGAATTCAAAGGTTTTTGCAACAGTTAGGCGACCCTGCCTAGACTGCGAGCAGTCCCTCTTTTTCTTCAAATATAGTGAGGGGAATGCACACGGGCGAGAGACGTAGGAAACAAGGGCGGCAGCCGTAGAAGAAAAAAGAGCGTTTCTTTCCGTCTCGCCCCTTCAGTCACGCGCGTTTCGCAAAAAACTGAAAAGAGACTGCTTACTGCTTGATTCTAAAGCGCACGACTCTTGACCAGTGCGCTTCGTATTGTATCCTTGATTCTTCATATCACAATTAATCTCCTACTCAGATTTCTGATGGACAAAGTCGAATCCGTCCATAACAGATAAACTGGAGAGAGCGCCACAAATAACGAGGGATGGGGCGAAAGATTCGCACAAGACCTTTGAGAGGCATATCTATGATTCACTTGACACGCACCTTTCCAGGAATAACCTGCTGTACGGATTACGGCTGGTTTTTGAAAAAAAGCATTCAACTGAAACAGCGTTAATTCGACAAAAATTACGTGTCTGGTCTCGTGTGCTTTGATTATAGTAAAGCCTTGACTTGATAAATCACGAACTTCTCATAGCTAAACTGAAAGCATATGATATTGATGATAGTAATCTACGACTATTCCAGAGTTATGAAAGCGATAGGTTATTAAAAACGGCTACAGGTGCTCCTTGCTTAATATTACAAATGGGGTTGCTCAGAAAAGCATTCTTGGCTTTCTTTTCATAAATGAACTGCCCTCAGAGATACCAAATTTTATAGTAGACATCTACGCTGATGATACCACCTTTTCATGACCTTTTCGTTTTGTGCACACTGCTCATTGACAGTTTGTGTGATTGGTCTTCACGAAATCGTATGGCTCTTAATACTAATAAGACCAAATCAATGCTGGTAACTGGAAAACGACTAAAATCACAAATAAATAGGTCTGGTCTGGATCTGCAGGCCGGTGGTGTAGCCATTGAACAAGTCATGCACCAGAACCTGCTTGGGGTTACAATTGACGTAGAACTTACCTTCAAAGAACATTTTGATCAACTTTGTGAGAAAATTAGCCCCAAGATTGGCCTTTTAAACAAGATGCGTACCTACCAACCAATTAGAGAAGGAGAATTGTTCTACAATGCCCTAATTAAACCGACAATAATGTAATGCATGGCGGGTGTGGACTTCTTGCTCTGACAATGACCTCAAGAGAATTTTACGACTACAGAAAAGGACTGCGCGATAAATTCTTGGTGTAGATTCAAGGACGAGGGTAGTATAATTTTAAGAAGCTTAAGTGGTTACCGTTCTATGATGACGCTAAGATAAATAAGTGTGTTCTACTTTAAAAGGCATTGCAAGGCGAATCACCTGATCATGTATATCAAGGATCTTTTAATTACGAACAAATCACTACACGGTAGAGAGACGAGACAAGGCCAACATAACTTCGTGTGCCCAAAGTTTTGACACATAACCAAAGCGGGAAGGTCTTTTAGCGTCAGCAGCGTAAAGTTTGCGGGAACAGTCTGCCTCGGATATTAAATGGAAAAACAGTCTTTCATCTTTTAAGAATACTTTGTTAACTTATTTTAGAGATTCTTTTATTGACATCGATAATTTTGAGACCTTATTGTAAATAAATCTTGTATTGTTAGGTTAGTTGATTTAGTCGAAGGCCACTGTCTTATCAGCTTCTTCCCTTATGTGATAACTTATTTTACTGATTCTCATATTGATATTAATAATATTTAAGCACTAATATTGTATCTATATATCTGTAATTTTTAGGTTAGTTTAGTTGGAGGGCCACTGGTTTATCAGCTTCTGCTGTTATGTGTTTACCTTCTTTTTTAAATAAAGTTGATTGATTGATTGATTGACTGACTGATTGGTTCATCCTTGACACCCTATTTCTAAAGGAGCCTCACTCGTTAGTTTAATTTTTTAGCATAACTAGGACTATGTACATGCAGTGTGTAGCCTAACATATCAGCCATCTCCTCGCCCCGCTCATTTCCCCGGAGCGTTCAGACGGTGACCACTTCCGTTACTAGCCAGAAGCTGTACTACTAGCTGCTGGCATTGAAAGCAAATTTTTAGCGACTGCCACTTTGTAAAGATGAAGTAAATGCTTCAACCTCCCCTCGTCTTCTACAGAGCTTTCTTTTCACTTCTCTCTTGATGTCCTCCTTTAATAATGCATAAATAAACGGATTAATAGCCGAGTTCGCTACCATTAACAAACGGGATGAAAGTACTGTTCCAGAAGAAATGGGACACGACAGTTTAAAATAACTGCAGAAATGTCGATATGCGGATATCAACCAACACAACACAAATATCAGCAAAACCAGACTAAAGACCCTTGTTGCCGATGTTTCTTGCTTCATTCGTCGTGAATTTAAAGCTCTCGATCTCCCTGCGTTCTGTTCCACACACAGGGCGCGGATTTGCCGAGAATGTTTTCGAGAAACTACGAAAATGTGTCCATAGATGAGCAGCATTACGACACACGGAAGGATGTTAAAGCTGACGATTTGGATTGTTCCATAGATCATCTCTGCTCTCTTTTTCCGCT